ATAGCCCTTGTCAATAATAACAATAATTTGTCAAACTGTGACTTACTTTGAATTTTCTTTCACGAATTTGCGGATATGCGATTAGTTCAGGGGAAATGCTGCAGTAAGATAGCAGAAGCTGAAAGAACTCACGCCAACAAACGGCGAAGAGAGTGGTTCCACAAAGATAGTGGACGACAATTGATGTTCGGGTTCTCGATACAGAGGAACAAGTATTAGGCATAATGGAATCAGGGCCTTCCAGGGGTACTCAGAGCAAAATAACTGACACTTTCCCAAGCACCAAGTAAAAACCGAGGAAAGGCCATTGTACGATACACACAGCACAAGAAGATACAAATGGAGCACGAGTTAATTAACTGAATACGATAAGCTGCTTGATGAGAGTGGATAATAAGGAGATTACACAGGCACTTGCTTGTTTGGAGTTAACCATTCAAATGTTTGGTGTTGTATGGATTATTTATGTAAACACGAAACCCCGCAGAATTAGGTTATGAGAACAGGTTGACATTTCGTCAACAAATATTGTTGAATTTACCGTTTATCCTTGTCTATCTTATTGTCAATCTGTATAATTCCATGGTTACCGGAGTTTTAAATATTTACGAAGCAACAGGTATTTGCGCAATGGTGATTAGGCAGATTACCTTGAAAAACATTTCTGCCGTATTTCTGATATAGTTTTTTGCAAATTTCTCAGTTTTTAGTAACAATTAATTTTTTTTGCAATTTTTTCTGTACTCCTATAAGAGCGCCAGACCACACCTCCAGAGGAATGACTCCAATTTTGAATCACCCTGTAGAACAAAAAATCTTGAAAAAATTAAAAATATATTATTAATAAACAACTATCCATGGTCATTTTTCGAACCAATCATAAAGCAAAAGATAAATAAAATATGCAATTCAACTAAATGGAAAAACATAAATAAAAGTAGAGAAGGTGATATCAAGTATATATCATTACCATATATTCCGGAAATTGACACAAAAATAAAAAATATATTCAAACCACATAATATCAACATAGCAGAAAAAACTAAAAACACCTTAGCAAATGAATGTTTCACAAAATTTAAACCTAGGATTGACAAGTTAGACACGCCTAATGTAATTTACAAAATAGACTGTTTGAATTGTGATAACACATACATAGGTCAAACAGGACAATATCTAAAGAAAAGAATATACGAACATAAGTATAGCCTAAGAAAAAATAACGAAAATGGTACAGCATTAGCACAGCATGCACAACAGAGGTTGCAGTATTTTGATTTTGATAACACGAAAATACTGATTAACTAGAGTAATTATAATAAGAGAAGAGTCCATGAAATGATACAGATTAAAAAACATAACAATGCTATGAATTTCAGATCGGATCCCGACAATCTTAGCTACATTAATTATATGAAATAAACATAGAATATTAACTAACACCCGGTATATTGAAGAATTTTGCAAACCAAAAATAATTTTCTCAGAATGCAAATAAAAATAGCTGAAAGTAAAAGAAATCAATATAAACAGTATTTTATTCGCTTTGTGTCCAAAATGGACAAAATTAATACTCCAAATGGTATTTTCGAAAAACTGATGATGGTGGAAAAATACACCGAAACGTATTTTAATTGATAAATAGAGACAATAAATGACTGAAACCCAGGAATGAATTTTGATTTGGAATTCAAACACAGTCAGGAGAGTATATACAATCATAAATAATTGTCACTATAAATTATTCTAGTAGTCTATAGTAGTTTGTTAGGCGTTATTATAAACTGTTGTCTTGACTTTGACTTTTTTATTTTTCTCTGTATGTGAATTTTGTTCGAGGGGGAGAACAAAAAAAATATTTGTTATGCGGAAGATGCAATTCTGATCTCGGACGGCAAAGATAACCTCTAGAGCTTGGTTCATCCCTATGAAGCAACAGCAGAAACCTAAAAGATGTAGAAATCATAATTGTAATAAAACTAAAATATAATTAACTAATAAATAATCCACCAAGTTTCTAAGGTCGAATATCTGGAAATACAAATACCCAGTTACGGAGATGTAAAAGAATGTGTACGAAAGCAGGCCAATAAAGAGGCTTATGTATCAGGATGTTTAAGAGATGTAATCTGGAGGAATACAGATATGAAGCTGGACAAAAAAATACGCATATACAGGGTGTCCCGAAATTGTTGAGCAACAATGTTAGAGCGTACAGAAGACCAGTCAGTACTTCATATAAAAATGATCTTATCTGGTTTCCTTATGGAATTATGGGCCCTCAATTAGACTTGCAAAAGGTTCCTTTTCTAACCGGATCTTCAATCTAATAGGTAGCTACTGTACAAAATGTATTACTTATATAGAGTATCTGTCAAACTACTTACAATGTATAATCAACATGATCCTTTTACTGACTGAAGGTGGTACTCCGTTGGATGCAATGCACAGATATGGTCCCATTTGTAGACGATTCACTTTGGTTATATTAAAGACAGGACCCTCAAAATATGACACTGAAATTTAAATAGGAGGAGACATTAATTAAAAATATATGATATCAAAGTAGCTTGAAGGCTTTTACATCTATGGTTTTCAATTACTGGTTTAAATTTAGAAAAACCGTTGACGTTCCAGAGGGCTATTAACATGATCTTCATGTCGAATTTTGCAAAGAAGCGCCTACCATATTTGTGATCAGTTTATTAAATTGGTGTGTTAAGTTCAAAGTCACTTGTATTCGGTAATTTAAAGCTAATAGGTAAAAAATATGGAATTTCCCTGTGAGGTGGACTAATCAAAAGACTAACTGTATTTATTAAAACAACAATCTAGTTAATTGACTTGATATAAATATGACTATTTAGGTATGTTGGTGTACACGTTAAGGACTCATTGAAGACGATTTTACTTCTTTGTTTCAGCAAAAACAGGAAATGCTGCAGATAAATGTAAGACGTAAGTTAATAACGAAACCAATAAATTCTAAACGACCACCAAAGTGGACATAGAAGGCGTGCAGATAAAGGTTGACATGTACA